CCTTAATGTTTCCCTTTCTGTTGTTCTTCTCTGTGGCAAGAGGGCTCTCTCAGAAAACGAACTCAGTGGACAGCTGCTACTAGTGGGTGAACGCTCTGCTAAGAGCTTTGTTTTCACTGTTGATTAAATTTGCCTTGCTGTTGTATGTTTTGTTTTGCTCTACCTTCCTGGTGGCTGATTTTTTGGTGAGGGTGACCAAAAATTACCTGGCCTCTGCAAGGGTGTCCAGGTTTTGGTCTGTGGTCCCAGATAGACTTTTAATGACTCACGAGATAAGAGGCCTAGTGTGTCTTAGGATGTAATTACAGTACCTAAGTTTAGTTACAGGATTAAAGCTACGCTCATGGTGTCCTGTCTTCTCACCGTTCTTTGTCATGTGCACTTTGAAACTACTAACAGTTTTGGCTGTTAGTAGTTCTCCACCACCTTCTCACTTAACTTGGTCCAACCATCTAACACTGTTTGCAGAAATGAACATTCTAATATTTTTTTGGCAACTTTGTTTCCTTAGTGTCCTCTTATTCTTGAAGTTGCAGTTTTCAAAAATTCTTCTCTGTCTATTTTGTCAATTCTTGTTACTATTTTGTATGTAGTGATCATATCACCTATTTTTCTTCTATCGTCTAGCTTTGACATTTTAATATCGCTAACTTTCCTCATAGCTCTTGTTTTTCAGTTGCGGAAGCCATTTAATTGCATGTCTTTGCACCTTTTCCAGTTTATTGATATGCTTCTTGAGATATGGGCACCATATATCTGCAGCATATTCCAATTTTGGTCTCACAAAGGTTGCGACTTTTTTTTTTAATTTTGTCATCCATGTATTTAACACTTTTGTGTTCCCGGCGTGCGCACCCCAGCCTACCTCAAGGTAGGCCCAGCGTTTCACATGGGCGAGCGACCACGCTAAAATGTGTATATCTGTACTCTTTTCAGTTTTCTTACATCAATTTCTGAGGGGGAGCTCCTTCGGCTCCCTGGAGCTATCCAGGCTGATACATATATCGTTAGACTTTGGCATCAGTCAGTGTGAATGGAGTTTTAGATGTATCGGGGACCACGAGCCAGAACCTGGCCCCCTCAGAGAGGCACGAGGAGCAATGGCCTATAGAAATGCACATGGGGTTTGGAGCATTCTATGTTTGCCATTGACCGGGCCAGGCACCCCAGAAAGGTAAGCACGTCAAAACAAACTCCTATTCTGGTTAAAACAACTAAAATAGATTAACAAGTGAACAGAATTTCCCCAATTGAAAACGAGCAAACCAGCATGACGTCACACGTACCGTGCCGGATGTCTGCGCAGCTTCCCCCACCCCGGGAGGGGAAAGGGGAGCCCCAGACCCACCATGCCAGCGATCCACCCTTCAGTTCTCGTCTAATGTGATTGTAGCTCGGTCGTCGTGTGGCTCCAGTTCCAGATTCTCTCTTGTTGTGCTGTGCCTTGTGTCCAGTACTGCTCTTATGTTGGCGTGTGAGCTGGGAGTAATATTCACAGGTACTCTGGCTGCATGTGCTTAGGGTTTCCTTCCCTGAGTGCCCTGTAAGTACTGCCCTTGGGGCTTAGGGTTATCTTCCAAAAATCACCTTGGGTCTACCTCTGTTGGTCTTTTACTGCTTGGTGATTGACCGCCCTGGGTGTGTTGGGGGGTTTACTCGGTTTACTCCTCCCTTGTTTACCTTTGGGTAAGTAGTAGTTTTTGCAGTGGTAGGGGCACGGGGTACTGCGCAGCTAGTTTTCATCTATTACAGCAGCTGGCTCTGTTCCTTCTGGGTACGTTGTCCTCCTGCCAGGTTTTTCTTCTCATTTTTGTTTGTGCCTAATGGGGTTGTCTGCTTTTGTTCCCCTGCCCCCTGTCATATTAGGGTCATGACCTCTTGTTTTTCAGTGGTACCTACTGCTAGGCCCCCCGTGAGTGGACACGTCCCAGGGGTTCAGTTTTAGAAGTTTGTTTGGTAGACTTGGGCGCCGGTTAGCAGTACCCTGCCTGGGCTTACCCTTAGCAAAAACAGTTTAAGGGCCCTGGGAAATCCCGCGGGGGCGCAAGGGGTCCGATGGATGCGACTCCTGAATCGCATCCATCCTCTCGCCTTGTGGGAGTTTGAGGGTTGCGCTGTCCCCTTGTCTCAGGGTGACGCTCGTTGGTTTTGCCTTCGTCATGCTGCCTGTTGGGTCGGTGACACCTTCGGCCCGGAGTCCTACGAGCATAGTTACTTGTTTGACTCCATTCACCTAATCCACTGTTGACATTATCCGGGTGCAGGCGGCTCAGGCGTTGCATGTTAGGTTTAGGTTGCTGCAATGTGCTTGCAGCAACCTAAACTGGGTTTCTTGAGACATGAAAATTATTTCAAGGATTCCACAGTGGTACAAAATGTTGAGAAATGCTAGCCTAGAGATTTTAGGGGCCATCTAGACTCTAGAGTCTATAAGTATATTAGTAATACCTGAACATGTAAGGGTCTAGATGTTGGCTAGGGTAAGTACTCCTATATTGGTTCTATTTCACATTGTGTAATAGCACCGAGGGAAGGAGGCTAGTGAAGCTACCGAGGGGTGTCTTGCACAGAAATAATTTTGTTGAGTCAAATAAAGTGCTCCTTTCTGAGCACCACCTTGTCCCGCTTTATACGTTTTTCACTTGGCAATGGTTTCTTCAGCCTTAAAGATGCTCATTAAGGGCCTGGTGATTTATATTTGTTCTCATAAGTTTTCAGGAAGAGGCTTTTCATTTCACTTTTTTTCCTGCTATATTTGTACAGTACCTGTACTATTTTCTCATTCTTTATGTCAAATTCTTCACACCAATTTTATTCCCTTTTCTTGTTGCATTTCATTATTTCTGCATCACAGCCACACCTGTATCTTTCCCCTCTACCAATTGTGTATTTCTTTACTAGCAGTTAACATTCTTCCCTATTTTGATATTTAACACTTTCGCGCTAACCGGACTCACCGAGGAGTCCTGTTTCGCTAACCGCTAACGCATAGTGGACATAAAGTTATGTCCTCTTTTAAAATATTTGTATAAAATTCAATTTTTATCCGATTTACTTTGAGTTTGTTTCAAACTGCGCGCCATGAGGCTCTCTTTCTCACCACTAGGCTGCATGGTACAATAAGTTCATGAAAGGTGTGGACCACTTCGATCAAATGGTATTATGTCCCAAACGGGTTGCAGGTGGGTGACTTTAGCCGTTTATACTGGTAATGCATCCCCCATATCATGTATTATATGCATATGTCTGTTTAGGGAATTTTATTCCGATCAATGTACAACCAAAAATAACTGTGCAACAAGTATAAACTTGACAAACATAACAAAAGTAAAAACATTTCGTGTGTGTTTGACGCTCACTGATATGTTCCAGCGTTGTTTTATATTTGGCGCTATTCTATCTTACGCTTTGTTGATCTTTTTTACCTACGGGCTCATAGAACATTCTATTGCGAACACATTGACACAAAAATGAATGACGTACATAGAAAATTAATGTCATGAGAGTGAAATAAGTATAAACTTTCAAAGCGCCGTGCGTCGTCCCGTCACCGATACCGGGTAACAATTTCACCACTTCCCACACTCTTGCGGGCGTGCCGCATTCATTATTCTCCGCTTATATTCATATCACCGTGTTGGGAATTTCATTGCGAGTCCATTGATACCAAAATTAACGCTGTAGGACAAGTGTGGAGGTGATAACAATCCCAAGAGTAAAAACATTTTGTTGCTGTTGGGCGCTCACGGCGAGTCATCTTCGTAGTTATTTATTTGGTGCTGGTATCCCTATACGTTTCGTGACTTTTTTTACTGATGTTCTTCTAGAGAATTTTATTGCGAACACGTTGGTACCAAAATGAAATACATAGCTCAAGAACTAAGGTAAGGAGAGTAAAAAGAGTATACACATTTTTGTTTTTACGCTTACTCAGCAAAAACGCTCCCCGCACATACCGCTTTTTTTTTTACCATCGAAGGGGGCGCGAAAGTGTTAACTTTGTTTACTTTTCTAGTAGTTTCATGCTAGTTTTTGTTTTGCTTAGGCTAAATAATTTTTCACAAGCCTGTCCCTTACTCTCATCAAACTCCCTTTTTTCCACATTCTCCTTCATTTTATATCCACAGAATCAACATTTTTCTTTCCCCCAACTCATCTTGTCACTTTGACTTGTCTGCATTAGGGGGGATATTTTACATTGTACGTAAGATTCCATAACACTTGTAACAGAACTATGAAGTGTAATTCTTTGTTTCTCTTGCATTTGCACCACATACAATGATATGCATCATTCCACAAGCATCTTGTTAAGTTTCTACCTATTCTTCAGTCACATGTCTTCTTTGTATATCGTCGTCGTTAAAATTATGAACGGTAATGTATAAGTAATACCTACCTGAACATTATTTAGTTTCATTACATGTCTCTTTCAAATTACAACTATTATTTTCTGGGACACTGTGTATACCATCATGTAATTCTTGTAAATATTTCAATAAATAAATATCACTCTCCTGAATTAACTAAAAATTTATCTCATGTCTGCCTCCACAATGACAGATTTGAATTTAAAATTCAAGCACTTTGAACTACCTCTCGAAAAGTCTTTAATTTATCCTCATGATAACTGGTATTGGGCACTGTTAATTTATTAAAAGTGTACTTTTTTGGTTTTCTCTCACTCTCAAGCCATATTCCATTCCATTTCTCATTCTGGCATCCTCCTCTCATGGATCTGGCACATCAAACCTTTCCTCCTTAAAAGTTTCATTTTCCATCACCTTTAGTCATCAGTATATTCTCCTTACATTGTACTCAGTTGAGATTTTAGCATACATTTGTTGAGAAATTTGTTTGTCACCACAGAGGTCTTAGCAAGTTGATTCATTACTTTTTATCTTTGTTATCTTAAGTACAGTACGTAGGTAGGTTTTGTGTTGGTATTGTGTAGCAGCACAAGACTTCTATTCTACCACTTAGATATGTCTACTTTGATGCAGGTATTGGAGCCACAGCAGTTGTACACTCTGCGCTATGTATTCCTCGCAGCGAAAAATGTGCCATCAAGAGAATAAACCTCGAAAAATGGAATACGAGTATGGATGAATTATTGGTGAGTAATACAGACTTCCTTAAGATTGTATTCATAAGGTTATTAGGTATTATAAAAAAGTAAGAACTACATTAATTAGTTGAACAGAAAAGAAAAGAAGAGAGAGAATTGACTAATGCATGACCACCATTGCACAAGTATATACTTCTCTGTTATGAAATGAGAGTAGAGATAGATGAATGCAAAAAACCAGCGTTGAATGTAATGAAACGCCATTTTCTGGGTGAGTTTCGGAGGCTCCCCGGAGCTATTCCAGGCTGATATGCTAATGTCAGACTTTGGCATCAGTCATGTGTATGGAGTTCTTAGGCCTACCGGGGACCACGGCCAGAACCGGGCCCCCTCAGAGAGGCAAGGGGAGCAATGGCCTATAGAAGCCCCAGTGTGGTTGGAAGCGTTCTATGTCTGCCATCGACCGGAACAGGCACCCAGAAACGTAAGCGCCTGAAAACAAACCCCTATTCTGGTTAAAATTGCTACCAAAAGCCGAGCTAGTGGATAGAACTCCCCAACCGAAAACAAGCAAACTAGTGTGACGTCACACACCGCCGCGCCGCTGTCTGCGCAGCTCCCCCCTCCCCGGGAGGGGGAAGGGGGAGCCCCAGACCCTCCACGCCCAGCTACCCACACCTCAGTTCTTGAGGCTGGATGTCAAAAACGCGAAAAACTGCCGACCGGAGGGAGGGAGGGATGCCGGGGAGCCTCCGGGACTCACCCAGAAAATGGCGTTTCATTACATTCAACGCTGGTTTTCTGGGGGGAGCCCCGTCGGCTCCCTGGAGCTAACTACCCACAGACGGAAAAAGAGGGACTTACCCGGAAGGCGGTCGTCGCTCACTCCTCAACTCGAAGCCGACACAACTAGCTCCATCTGCCGACCCAAAGCAACACAGGCCCGACGGGGCCCAGGGACATTCACAAGGTAACGAGTAGCCAGGACCCTGTTCGACCGCCAAAATCCCCGCGCCCGAATATCAGACCAAGACCTCTATTTGGGTGGAGAGGGGAACGAAGCGAGACAGGGCGTCGGCCAAGATGTTGGACACGCCCCGTACGTGAACCGCCAGGAGAGCCAAACCCCGAGAACTCAGCAGACGAGTCACCCGAAGTGACCAACCCCAAAGAGACAAGGACCGCATCGAACCCCCGCGGTTCAGGCAATGAACCACCGGAGTGTTTGTCCGAATGGAGCCGAATCGTCGATCCGCGGGCCACCCGAATCCTCCCCAGAGCAAACCACACTGCTGCGAACTCCCGCACCGTGCTGTGAGCTCGACGGAAGGACGGATCCCAACGCCCCTGGCCGGCCTGGTGAGCACTGGTCACAAAACCCCAGCCGAGAGACGACGCATCCGTGTACACATCGAGCGAGGGCTCGGGTAGGCGCCAAGGCACTGAGCCCCGAAAAATCCGAAGAGGAAGCCGGTGACGCAGCAACTGACGCAAGGCTCCCGGGGGTCGAACTCTGCGATCGCGAGAGAGGCGGAAGGGGGAACCCCGAAGGAACCAGAACAGCTGTCGAAGCCAAACCCGACCCGACGGGTAGACCACCATCGCGAAGTTCAGGCTCTCGCGCAGCCCCTCAAGCAACCGCCGGGTGACCCGAGGGCCCTCCAGAAACAGACGAAGGCGGGACCGCAGCCGCAGGAGAGACTCCGGAGGGAGAGACAAGGAGGCGGTTCGAGAGTCCCAGACGAGACCCAGCCAAGTCCGAACCTGAGAGGGAACCAGATGGGACTTCCTCCAGTTCACAAAGAACCCGAACTCGGCAAGCTGGGAAAGAACCAAATCCCTGGCTAGCAAGCAAGCTGACCGGCTGGGAGCCCAAACCAGCCAGTCGTCGAGGTAGGCCAACACCCGAACACCAGTTCAGTTATAGACCAGTTGCACTAACATCGCACATCATAAAAGTATTTGAGAGAGTGATTAGGTGTCAGGTCACCAATTTCATGGAGACCAATGACCTTCACAACCCAGGCCAACATGGATTTCGAGCGGGAAGATCGTGCCTCTCACAGCTACTTGAGCACTACGACAAAGTCACTGAGGCATTAGAAGAAAAACAGAATGCTGATGTGATATACACGGACTTCGCAAAGGCTTTCGATAAATGTGACCATGGCGTGATAGCACACAAAATGAAGTCAATGGGAATAACCGGTAAAGTAGGACGCTGGATACTCAGTTTTCTGTCAAACAGGACTCAGCGAGTAACGGTCAACCATATAAAATCTAGTGCAAGTGCAGTTAAAAGCTCTGTACCTCAGGGTACAGTCCTTGCACCGCTGCTTTTCCTTATTCTCATATCAGATATAGACAAAAATACAAGTCACAGCTTCGTATCATCCTTTGCAGATGACACAAATATCAGTATGAAAATTACCTCGGCTGAGGACATTGAAAAACTTCAAGCTGATATTAATAAAGTTTTCGACTGGGCATCAAAAAATAACATGATGTTTAACAGTGATAAATTCCAGGTACTCAGGTACGGTAAAAATGAGGACCTTAAACATAATACAGAGTACAAAACACAATCAAATGTACCCATAGTAGGAAAGCAGCATGTAAAGGATTTGGGAATAATAATGTCTGACGACCTAACATTTAAGGAGCATAACCAAGCAAATATTGCGACAGCCAGAAAAATGATAGGATGGATTACGAGAACTTTCAAATCCAGGGATCCCATTACAATGGTTGTACTCTTCAAGTCACTTGTGTTGTCCCGTCTTGAGTACTGCTCAGTACTCACTTCCCCCTTCAGAGCAGGAGAGATTGCTGAAATAGAGGGAATACAGAGAACATATACGGCACGCATAGACGCAATAAAGCACCTAAATTATTGGGATCGTCTCAAAGCCCTCCAAATGTACTCACTAGAAAGAAGACGAGAGAGATATCAAATAATATACACCTGGAAGATACTGGAGGGCCAAGTACCAAATCTACACAGTAAAATAACAACGTACTGGAATGAACGATATGGAAGAAAATGTAGAATAGAACCAGTGAAGAGCAGAGGTGCCATAGGCACAATCAGAGAACACTGTATAAACATCAGAGGTCCGCGGTTGTTCAACGTCCTCCCAGCAAGCATAAGAAATATTGCCGGAACAACCATGGACATTTTCAAGAGGAAACTAGATTTATTCCTCCAAGGAGTGCCGGACCAACCGGGCTGTGGTGGGTATGTGGGCCTGCGGGCCGCTCGAAGCAACAGCCTAGTGGACCAAACTCTCACAAGTCAAGCCTGGCCTCGGGCCGGGCTTGGGGAGTAGAAGAAATCCCAGAACCCCATCAACCAGGTAACCTAGGAGATGCAAACGAGCCACCACAACCCGTGTAAGGCGTGTTCACACGCAAGGTGCCAGGTTCAACCCGAACGGGAGACAACGAAAGCGGTAACTCAGACGCCCCACAACAAAACCGAGCCAGTCCCTGAACCGTGGATGAATCAGGACATGCCAATAAGCGTCCCGGAGGTCCAGGGACACCATCCAAGCTCCCGGCTCCAAGAGGAGCCGAACCTCAGGTCCGCGCAGTCCCGTTTCGGAACCAGAAACAGACGGGAAACCCATCTGAGGGACGACGCCGTTTCGACGACGCCCAAGCATACCCACTCCAAGACGACTCGACAGAGCGTAACCTGCCCTGCCAGCCCCGACCCCCCCATGGGGAAGAGGTGCCACCCAACGCCACCGCAGGCCGCGAGACACGACCCGAAAGGCCCACGAATCGTGGGACCAGGCGCGGGCGAACAGTGCAAGCCGCCCCTCCATCGCCCCGTCAATGGGGTAAACCGCGAAAGGGCCGGCGACCCTTACGAGACCCAGAACCCCGCACATAGCGAACACCGCGCCGACCGGACGAGAGAGGGTCCACAGGAGGAGCCAAACCCGAACCTGACTCCAGAGGCCTACCACGACGAGAGGAACCCAGAGCCCTGGCACGACCTTTCCGGGAAGACCCACCCCGGGACCCCCGGAAAACCAACAAGTCCGACATCGGACGACAAGCCGCCAACGCCGGCTGAATAAACTGCATCACGGCCGACTCCTCAAACAGAAGAGGACAAAAAGGTGAAGAACGCCTAAGAGCCAGAGCCCAAGCAGATTCCACGGAGGAACCCAGCACTGTCTGCCGACACGCGAGGCGGGAAGCATAAAACAGGGGAAACCACATCCCGCAAAATCGGCGTGAACAGCTTCAACAAGGCAGCTGACGAACGCCCAGCCGAGGACAAGGTGCTGGACTCCGGGACGGACCCAAGCGTCCTCACATCCTCCACGAGCCAATCCGAAGACAGCTCCAGGAGGGAAAAGAACCGCAAGGCCGTAGCCAAAAGGCCCCGGGCGCGCAAGTCCTCCGCAACGAGTGCCGCCGAAAGGGTGGGAACCTGTACATGGAGCTGAATAACGCCCACATCGCGGGGAAGGGCAGGGGCAAACAAGCACTCATTCAGGTACTCAAGCTCACCTTCAAGTTCAGGAAAACCTGAAGCACCGTGGAAGCTTCCCGCCACTCCAGCGTGCGGGAACGACAGAAGAAATGCCAGGAATCCAGAACAAACAAGGGGCAGTCTGCTAGCCAGGACGACTCCGGAACCTCGTAACGGAGCCAGAAAGGGAACAAAGTCCCAAACCTGAATTCGGATGGATCCATTTCTGAGGCATAATCCGGGTCATGCAGGAGGTAAGCTGCAAAGGCCGCTCGTACCACACCAGGTTGGATGCGATAAGCCGAAAACCTCCGGAAGGACGGAACCGACGTACCCGGGGGAACACGGAACCGAACCCGGGGAGGGGCCGACACCAAATCCAACTCGTACGCAGAGGGGGGGGGGGGGGAAGAAAACCCCACTCCTTGTAACAATAAGCCCCGCTCAGAGGGAAGAAAAACCCAGGCGGGGTCCAGCGGGGCCCAAGGCCCCCAAGTCAGCCCCTCCCCAGCCTCGAGGTCCTTCATCACAGGACAAGAGGCCAAGTCCTCTCCCCAAG